CCTAATGGAGCAACTGTGGTGCGCGACCCAGCTGAAATGTTCATGGGTGTATTTTATCGAAGTTTGCGAGCTCGTTTGGACTGGTTGCCGCATGTGCGAAACCACATAAGTCGTTCCTGCTTCCTGCTCATGGATGACCTTAACTTATGCCGAATATTCTGGTCTGGTGATCAAGTACTTGCTGATTATTGTGAGGTGGAGGAAGTATGCTGAGATAATTTTTGAGATTGGGGCAGCACGGCACATTTGCCAGCCGCATTCAACTCCGTTGTGTCTGGACCTGGTGTTAGCTAGCTGCGAACACTCTGAGCATGATATTCAGATCCTGAAACCACTGGAAGCGGATGATCACCAGCCTAGAGCTTCTCCGTCATATTTGTATCCACAAGAGCCATCCTACAACTACTGGAAAACTGACTTCGATGGCCTCACTCTAGTCTCATTCAAGGGGACTGACGGGTCGATGTCGCAGGATTCGTCTGCTGAATCTTGCTGGTCTATGATAAAGAGGGTGTAAATTCGTTATGTGCTCAATTCGTACTCCTCAAGAATCGGAAAGTTGAGCCGGTGAAATCACACTGGTCACACTAAAAGTAGGCTTGACGACGGTGGAATAAATACGTTCAGGCTGGTTCTGCCGACGATTAAGAGGTGCACAAGAGACAGTGGAATTTATGCAACAGCGCGAAAGCACAGAAGCATCGACAATTCGAAGTGCAAGTTGTAACCGCAGCAAAGACACTCCCCAAGGAGATCCGTGTTTACGTGAAGAGGCGTTCGAGAGCTCTGACATACAGCCATACAACCACCGGACGTGCGTCCGCATTGGCGGCGCACATCCCTTCTGTGTTTGCAAATGGCTGTGCGCCTACGCCGAATTCGACTTGTTCAGCCCACATCCGAAATAGATAGCTTGGATTGCAGTGTAAAAGATGTGCTGCAATCGAATCGCTAGTCATGACGGCAGGAAGCCGGCCAGTTCTGACGGGCTCTACTCGTTGATTCACAAGTTCCTATCGATTATCATCCCACCTCCCGTGATTGATCTGTAAAACAAGTCATGATCCTAGGGTGCATTGCCGAGCGACTGGGAATGCTCGGTAGCGAGGTGGATACCGAACGGCAGTGGACAATTACCGACCAATTTGTCCGACCTCCGTTTTGGCCAAGGTACTCGGAAAGATCGTAAGGAAGTGTATACTGCAGCTGCAAGAAGCGCAACATTCTCCGACGCTGGAACAGCATGGTTTTATGAAATACTGCTCATGCAACACCAATTTGCTCGTGACGAGATATGAATGGTTGTATGCCGGGTAAGCAAATGAAGCCTGTCGAAGTGATTTACACCGATTTCAATAGTGCTGGAAAACGGGAACCATGAGGCCGTCCAACACAAGCTGAGGATGTGCGGTGCTGGTGGATCACCGCACCAGTGGATCAACGACCTCCTTACTGGATGATGACCATTTAATGGACCGGTATCCTTTCACTAGTGGAGTATATCAAGGCACAGTATGCGGCCAATCTTGTCCTCATCCACATTACAGAAGTACCCCAAATTCGTCGATCGCCTGATGCCTTGTATACGGACAAGTTTTAGAGTTAGACGACACCGACGACTGCGATGTACTTCAACGTAAGCTCAACCGTCTGTCCATGTGGTCCGAGCATCTCAATCTTTCGGTCAATCCTGTCAAGTAGCTATTTATGAGCCTGAGGAAAGGTGGGGATGGGCGTACATATACTCCGCCTAGCCAACCGCTGCATTCCACACCCCTAGGCGTATTCGCCCGCTGAGCTGAAGTCCGTGGAAAACAAGAACAAATCACATGGCGGTCTTTTTGATCGGAATGATTGAGGTCCACCTCAAGTGAACCGAGGTCTCAATAGAGATTGCTTGTAGCAACCCAACCGCCAGCGGATTCTCCAAATTCAACTTTGCATTCAGTCCCGCTGGACCAAGCGTTGCTCGCGGATCTCAGTGGCATAGTGCTTATGGCGTCAACCATGAGCCACTAGGCTCTGAGTTCCAGCCCAACTCAGGCTATCTCCAACTGATGAGTCCCAACAGGACGAAACCGCGGTCTTGGAGTGCCGGTGTTGGGATGAGCAATATAATTTTAAATCACATGGAAACCGTTACAGGGCTGGCACAGCTCTGCAAAACTCACCCTGGTTACACAGGCGCCAGTACACTATCGGTCCCGAAAATACGGTCGCTATGCAGAGACCCAAACAACTCAGTTCAGAGCGGAGCTCTACATACGGAAACTACCGCCAAGCGCCCACATGCATGCACAGATCACAATGGAATACTGCCAACGTATCCCGCACAGTTTTCAATGAACTCGCCCCATTCCCATTATCATATCTCCTGGACTCTCCTGAAGTCAACAGTCTGCCTCCTGAGCCGTGTTCATGCCAATGCCTTTGCCACCGAGCATACCCAACAAACTTGATGAATGCAGCATCTCAACAGCATCGAATCCACCCCATATTTGCCCGGGAGATAGGACCATTACATGGCAACTCATGTGTCAATAAACATACGCCTTCCCTTACAGTTTATACAATTAGTACTGTTTTAATGAAGTAGAAATATGAAGGTGTAGAAAGCACGGTGGCCTTGGTTGAGTCAGTAAAACACTCTTACTACTTGTCAGTTTTCATTCTGCGGGTCTCGGTACAGTCGTGCGGCCTTTACGCGTTACGTTTGCTTTATCAGTTGCAAATTCTCGTCTGCCGGCTAAGTCCACTAGCCGTTCCAAGGTGAATCGTCTAGGTTAGTCTGCGCGTGGAAAACAACGAGTGAAAGAGGTCGCCCGCTCCGAGTAAGACAGTCGAAATCCAACCAGGACGTTAATAACAGAAACAGATTACGCATGTTCTAGACGCTGAAACGCAGCTTTTGCACTTGATCTAAAAAGATTGCCACCTATTCTCTTCTATTTAAAACGAATGCTCGAGGACGGCTCAGTCGCCTATTGTCCGGTCACTAGTTGCAAGGGGCAAAAACTGGAACGAGTTGATTATGTCGCTACCGGGCTCATCCCCAATACATGGGGGATGTCGCAGGAATACTAACGTAGGAGACTGGGGTTGTACACCTGTTGTATTGTCGGTTGCGAATAGACCTTGTAATGACACACCGGATATTACGTCTGTGTGAATTTGTTATGCTGAGACCGGTCCTGCAAGTGTGCGCACGAAGCAGCACTCGCGAGTACCGGTACAAGTCTATGGTACTGAACCTGAAGTGGATAGCTTAGAGAGTTGAAATATTAGAACAGTTTGCCAGAAATTAGTGTCGGAATTCAAGAAATTCATAGGCGCCCACTTTGCGAGTTACAAATTTCAAAAGCGCATCGCAACTACATAAGACGTTGCACAGCCGAACTGCGTTGAGAATGTGCGGTACTAAAGAACGTTGTTCCGCGTGCGCGTCTGATAACGTATCAATGGAGCAACACAGCTGTATATTTTCTAGCTATCTATTTTCGGTATTCACCCATAAACTCTGAGGATGCTCCCAACACAGTGTTGAAGAGAGAAGTAGCAACTCTAACGCCATAGATATTCGAAATGAACCGGCGAGCAATCGTTGCACACTGAGCTGGCTAAATGGCACAATTGAGCGTTTAAACCGATGTGACAGAGACAATTGGTCATCGCTTTCAACCACTGTTACGCTCGTAAAAACCCATCCTAGACATGTGAATTAGATGCGAATGGAAAGCATTCTCTCCCTCACGAGCTCCAGCCTCCCACCAATTAGATTTCGAGGAGCGAAATGCCAAATCGCGATCCGCTGTTTGGATGCCCCAAGCTACACAGACATGTGGATGCGAATACCTTTGTCGGAACACATTGGCATTCAGTTTTACTCTCTCATTTCATCAGTGACAACTGACGCTGCAATTTAGGTTGGTATTACCACGGTGCATGTGGTGAGCGCGGGTGGATAACAAGCGCGCCAAGCTAAAGCCGGAAGAGGGTGCCATGTAAGAGATTAGGACAGGGTACTTAAAAACAAGGCATCGCAGTTCAGTCTGAAAAGTCCCACTGATAAGCCTGGCTAATGGGGGTGTGCTAATTTGTGTCCAAGATAGCTCGTCGTTCAATGGAAATCAGTTAGTACGATGTGAATGTCGATGCTGGAAAGCTGTATGCTGCTGATATAGAAGTTGTGGCCGGTGCAGAAGTAAGAGAAGGTATCATTAATGCCAGCGCAATATATACGGACCATAAAACGGTCTTCGCGGCGGGGTTCTGACAACGATGGGCGACCGAGTTGAGCATTCATGCAGCCTGAAACGAACACAACACTTTAGCCATGCGAATGAATGATGAGAACTATTCGCAGTATTCATCTTAGTAAATGTCCGGGTTAGTGTCGTTGAAATCAAGTGTCGAAATGAGAAAGACGCCTTGTTTCGGGTCGCTGCTGCCCGATGAAATTCAAATCAGAAAAGTAACACACGTACATCAGTTGAGAGTGCAATCATGGCGAAGGTCCCCTGCTTACCGATTTGACAGTGTGCGAACGGCGAAAGACTTAAGGTGGAATGACACTGATATTAGATGGTGACCTGGAAGCTTTGTTAATTTCCCTGACGTCATCATCATCATCATCATCAACAGCAGTACATCAGCCATTTGAACTGATGCTTCGCTGCCATACAACTATGAGGACTTATGAAATAAAGAATAAGAAGAGGGAGAGAAAGGGGGACTTACCTGAAAGCCTTAATGCCCTAAGCAAACATTCAGGGTCAAGGCGCCTACACCTTGTGTAGACAAGGTGTGGGACTGGGATAAAAGGAAAAAGGAAGAGTAAGGTACACTCACGATGAAGTACTGTGGTTAAATGAAAGCTTCCGATGGCACGTTCTGAGAGAGAAATGTTGCTAGAGGGCATTCACTTCTAATCTTGATCTAAAAAGCCTGACCCATAAGATGGTGGGGGACAAGCTTAGCAGAAGAGTTAAGCAGCAGTCGTGTTAAGGACCTGTGACAGCTAGATCGCAAATCGACGTGGGAAATCCGGAACTAGCTATTCGCGGTTTTGAGTGAAGCAGATAGTGCTAAAACAAATACGGTCAGACACAAGTAGGTCGCTGAGTGGTCATGAGTTGGAATCGTAAGGGCGAACACGAAAGGGTTGGTTGTGGGCGATCGGTAAAACCAAATACACCAAATAAATGGCCCAATGCGATCGCAGTTTCGAGTGGGGATAAGAGAGAGAGGTGTTACCTGCAAACTTGAGTGTCAGTAAGAATCGGTCGAGTCAAGTGTGAAAAAAGGAAAGGCGGACGAGGTGTAAGTTTGCAGTAATGTGCATCCGGATCTAACACAGTGTTCGCTTTATTCTGGAATAGGCATGATATACTGGGTGCCCGAGAAAACCAGATAATTTGTAATGCAGTTCGTACATGAAACTATGTAGAACGGGGTGGAAAGAAGTCAACATGCGTAGTGGGCACTGAGATAATTGAAGATCTGTCAGCAGTGTGGCAGTCACGAATTTCTCAAAATTATCAATAAAAAGCCGTGCATTCTTTTTCGTAGCTTCTTAGACGGAAAATTAGGCTTTGAAAAAATTTCCGATGCTAATGAGAGGAAACCTGACATGGTGAACGTTAATTTCATCGGGGACCAACGGAAACTGGTAGTTGTATGGTGTCCCATCGATGGCCAGTGACAACGTACCTGATCACCGCCATCAAAACTGCCAGTGGTTACAGCGAAATTCAACAGACTAGTATATGTGTCCATATTGGGTACGAAAACAAAAACGCCAGAATTGAAACAGTCCGGCCATCCGGGGTCAGGGGCGGCGCTCAGCTCCTCCCGTTCAAACAAATCATCAATATTCTGGATAACCTGAAATAGACGAATAGGACATGTAGTTCAACCGGCAACAAATCTGCAATATGTGAACAAGAAGTTGATCAACTACTTGTTATAGCTAAGTCTAAAATCGAAAATGGGAAATGCACAGACCATGAAAGAATTTGACTTATTGGTCATGGTGCATTTTGGTGAAACGCTCGCAGGCGAGCAATTCCACAAGGTGGGTGTATACTGAGACTTGTAAATAGGCACAAATGCCGTTTGCTTAAAGATGAGGAAGCCGATGCGATAGACTCAAAAACACTCACCAAAGTATCGGCATCCAGGAAAACAGCCTTTTGATATTGCGTAAGCCGCCAACAATGGAGCTTCGTGAAGGTAACTCCCAGATCCGGGCGGGCAAGGAGAGTCAGATTGACCACGTCCTTACTGTCCAAAACATCTACAATCTCCACGTAATCGAATATACGACGACAGAGATCTCTGTAGTAGCAATGTGTGGGGAAAACGTATTCAAGAACACAGACTTACTGCATATGAGGAGACACACCTTTGGTTAGAAGACATGCTAATTGCTTCGTGGTTTTGACTTCACGCAGAGAGGTAGCCAAGACCAGTGCACCACATACATATTCGTCTGTTGTAGCCAAGGTAACGAAGGCCTCGGACACTAGGACAAACCGTGAAAAGACACCGTGGGAGTTGGGATACCAAAGGAAGAAGCTCGTGCATTTAGGCATAGAATGCTACAGAATAGTGCTACTCAAACTCGAGACAAATAGGTTGTATAGACAACTACCATATGTAATGACAAAGTGATTATCTCAGTGGAACAAACTGCCAGCCAGCCAGTTGTTGTTATCACCTTTCGTTACAGATTCAACGCGTGACCCTATTGTATACGATTCTACCACTGATTCAGCAGATTAGCTGCTAGAGGATTATAGGTGCACGCCTTTACATTCTACTCATTATAACTTTGATTTTGCATACTTCCAGCTGGGAAGCACTGTCAGTGTTTAGTTAGGCTACGAGGTAAACATCACTTTGCGTCCTATGCATCTCACAACATCGGTTCACATCGCATAAAAGGCTTGTTCATAAACCGGTGTGCTTACCTGGGTGTCACAGGAGTAGTGATGGAAAATTACACAGACCAGATACAGTAGTTGGTAGGCAAAAGAAGAAAGTGACTTAGACAGCGTCAGTGGTGTGAATTTAGCAGATAGTCCCTCAGTGGCATCACACGGTACGGTACCAAGCAAGGACTTACGGGGATAAAAGGCGAGAGCTCGGTAATCCCACAAAGCATGAGCAATCCTGGGGAGTCGTTCACGGCGAAAGGGAAGTATCCCCATGCATCACGCGCAGTGGCCACCAGCTTTCACCCAAATGAGAAAAATTTCGCCACATTCCACCGGAGCCACACATAGTTCATTACGTGAGATCAGTCCACTGAGCAAACCATGATCCATGTCACCAAACAGATTACCATGCGATAATAGATGGCAATAAGCAAAGGAAACAAACAAATAAATAATACATAAACTACAAGCGGCGGTGTTCCAGACGGGGTGGATTTCCGTCTGGCCAGCATTCTCTCTATAAAAAGCCATGTCTGTTTAACAACACTGCAACGTGGAGGAAGTGACTCGCAATCAAATAAAGTCACTGCCACATACCTGTCCGGAAGATCTTGCCCATTTCAGTCCAGAGTTCTACTAATTCCTCCCCACGATGGTGAAGCCAGCGACCAAAAGCATAAATTCAGAGTCACATTAACATGTTCACTCAACATGGCTTCCAAAGGAACAACAACAGGACGTCTGCGCCTACAAAGGGACCATGGGTGGCTTGTGCTGCACCACCTACACCCCATATCCGGGGTAAACCCGAAGGAATAAGACCGGGAGGCATGTGGATGGGAGCCACGTCTCATCAACGGAGCCAGCCCACACTCCTTCAACAAGCACAGCAGAATCATTCATGAATAGATGGGAAATCATGCGCGCTAGACGTAAACAAGGCGGTGGCTGGACCGCAGTCCGCTTCATAATGAGTGCGTGAAACCACTCCTCGAGCAACGCCCAAGTGTTTCTTGGAGCCATTATAGACGAGGTGGTGGGCAACAGACAGGTAGGCACCTTGTCAACATTCACATCGCGTAGCCACACCAAGGAAATCAATCAACAAGTAACACCTGGAATGCAAGAAACGGAACACACAGACACACGTACAGACCAACTGCAACTACGATGCGGTGTACGTACCAAATCAGCCGCCTTAATGGTCTGGGTTATTTAATTGAATCGGAAGCAATCAGCTTACCAAGCACTGTGCTGATGTTCACTACATAGTAAGCGTAAGGGTGGGCGTCCTCGCGGTATAATCAGCCCGCGCGCGACTGGTGGTGGTCGCGCGGCAGCGAAGCGCCGTTACGGCGTATAAGCTGACACATTTCATTCATCATTTTCATTTCATCACATAGTAAGCTTACTCGTCTTCTCTTATAATGCTGGCCCAACGTGATGACGCTGGTGGCTTACTAAGCCAGGTTGCCTTAGGCACGCGCCACCGCATGTGCTACAGCCCAATGCGCTCGACGTTGATGGGCTATCTATCCACCATAGGCACATGTCGCTTCCTCAACCGACGTTGCTTTTACGCATGCAGTAGTGATTTCGCTTGCACCTGGGCGTCCGCCTCTTTATATGCTCAAGTCACTGGCGCCAATGAAATGCCATCGCTTCTCAACATATGAAGTCAAGATTAGAACGTGATAGGCTCACTTGATCACGTTCTGGTAAAGTAAGTTAGGTTTTACCACATGCCGCTTCTCTGCACGCAGATGACCGTAAAGCTGTTGCTTCGAGTATTCGGGTCGAATCCATGCGGGGAACATGCCCGAGGCACCCTCAGGTGCCTCAGCAGAAGTATACAGTCTACTACCTCCATGCCTCTGCGTCGCAGCCCTTCCGTGTCTGCAACTCCGTCACTCCAGCCGATGCGCAGAACACGATACAGACACTGTTGGCAGAAACGTTGCAGAAAACGGATATCCTTCCGATATGTCGTCCAGATTACGTTGCCGTATAGGAGAACGGACAGCACCATAGACTTGTAACCCATCTGCTTTGTCCCGAGCATGAGCTGGTGGTCGTTCCACACACGTTTTTTCCACTTTTCCAAGGGTGGCAGCCGCCTTCGATACGCGGGTGCGCAATTCGCTCATCCGTAAGCCAGAAGACATTCCGCTGCTTAGATAGCAAAATCTCGAAGTGGATTTCAAAAGGTCGTAGCCAATGTGGCTTTGCGTCAAGCCCGCAGATTCCACACTTGGAGAAGGCTGAAAAAGACAAACGACTTTGCTTGTGTTGGCGGTGAGCCTGTTGTCGAAGTCAGAGCATTAGTCATGTGCTGCAACTTATCCGTGCAGTGTGCAAACAACGCAGTCATCGGCAAAAAGCAATATACGGATGGTTGCTTCCCACACTAGGGTTCTCGATCTGAAACGGCGGAGGTTTAGCAAACCAACCATCAATACGGTGCTCCACATGAAAACCGTAAGAATAAGCGGTATCAAAAGCACAAATCATCATGTCAAGAAGATAGATATTAAACAGGGCAGAAGCTAAGACACGGCCTTGCTTCACACCACAGATAACTGCAAAGTCATCCGAGGTCTCTCCACTCAGCTGCACCCTCGCCCGCATACCACTTTGCAGATATACAATTAAACTTACAAACTTACTCGGACAACCAAACTTACCCAACATTTGCCAGTTCCTCGCGGTTCACGGTATCAAATGCTTTGGTGAATTCAAGAAACAGCGAGTAGAACGGTTGGTGTAGATCTCTGCATTTCTCATGCAAGCGACGAGCCGCAATCAAGTGATCGATTGTGCTGCAGCCCGGACGGAACTCACACTGCTCTTTCGCCATGTTAGGTTCCACAGCCTGACTGACAAAGCGGTTGAACAGGATTCGGGCAATCATCTTACCCACACAATTCAGCAAAGTTGATGACACAATAATTCGTGACACACTGCTTGCTCCATTTTCCCTTGCACACACGGGAGGCTTCATGTGTCAAGCGCACGTCCGACAGTCAACTGAGTGTAGCCCGATCGAACCGACAGAGCACAACATTTGTTTCATCAGTCTCGATCTTGGCGACTGCACAATAGCAGTTTGAATCCGGCATAACCACGTGTGTTCATATGCATTTGTGTATGACTACTACAAAGTGAATTCAGAAACATCAACCCTCATGGACAATAGTACTACGAACGTGCAAGGCCCTGGATTGAAGTTAAGACTAACAGCTATATTCGTCAAGTTAAGGAAAGCGCACGTAAGAGAATAAGTAACCAATACGAAATGTTGGTAGTTATTTAACATTTAGAAGTGAAGCTAAATGATAACCTTAAATTTAGTCAGCAGCATGTGTTAACAATAGATAGAGACAGATTTGGGAATAGGGAAGCAAATGTCATAAATATGGTTATCAGGTGAAATGGCACACAAATAAGTGGCACAGTAAGACAGTGATGACTTAGCGCCAGTATGTATTGTAGATGCTGTCTCCTTCATGTGATGTGGGGCTTGTAGCTGATGGAAGTCGCACAGCGTGAGAATGTAGTCTCTCCGCGCCGTCACTGTTTAAGAATGGATCGGTCCGATCGTCTCCTGTCCGAGGTACGTGCGGATTCCCGAAGAACGTCCCTTGCTCAAACTTAAACATTGGTAGGTGATAATATCGCACATTCGCTTATGTCCTCAGATACGATCACAGCAATAATACATCAAGTAAGTCGCACTGCCCACTGGTAAACATTTGGCCTTCGAAAAAGTGTTCACACTATATGGTAAATTTAATGGAAGCAGCATGGGTGTCAGCATTAAAGTACTTAACCGTTAGAAGAAGCAGCTGTGTAATCTGCTGTGGCGAGAAGCTATCTGATAGCCATCTGTCATCGTACGTTTCAGGTACAGCCATTCGGCGCTCCTAGACAATTGTTGTTGTGCGATTATGCCTTTTCCATGGAATAAACTAAGTCACTACCGTACTACCACGGCTGACATAACCTGCATTTAACTCAACCCGGAAGATTAGCCATTTTTAATTCAAGTTCTAGTAGGCGGCTTCGCGCTTCCGCCTCTAACCTCGATAGTAGCTGGTGGATGAACAAGGGGAATTATAATTATGTACATCCTCACGACTAACATGTGGTACAAAACAAGAAGTATCAACATCATGATATTCACCAGTAAGTTAATTGTCGGTATAATTCACTTTCCATGGATTTTCCAGGAATTTTATCGAAAAACTGCAAAATGGCTTCAACCGATACAAATGCACACGTGCCTAGTACGGAGAGATCATGGATGGACTGGACCTCTACCGTGCGATGCACTGCCTTTCTAAGCCTAGTGCTAATATTGGGCAGCCGGTTTATATATATATATATATATATATATATATATATATATATATATATATATATATAGTAGTACATGTTTTGTGACAGTTAATAATGAAGTCTGGAAACACATGTGCATATGTTGCATTCGAACTGCCGTTGGATACAGATGACACCAATCTATATATATATATATATATATATATATATATATATATATATATATATATATATATATATATATATA